AATTGTTTAAAACACAACTATGAGATTTGATTACATTTCAATTAAAAACTTCATTCTCTAATTAAAAACGGGTATCATTTCATCTTATTGGTAATTTGATTTTTAAGTTTGAATTAGTACTTCTAGATTTTATTTTGATTTTTTTTTTGTTGGTGCTTTGCATTTCATTATATTAGGATCAATTGTATTAATTTTTTGTTTTTGTATTTTTAAAATCTTTATTCCCATTATAATGTCATAAACAGCCAAACATCAATATTGATAATCATTCAAATTCCACTATTCTACCAACATACAAAATATTTTCACCAAAATCTATTACCATTATCAAGTATTTGATTTCGATTCTGACTATGATTCCCATGTACGGAACAAACACACCCTAATATTCATTGCCTCAAGATTCTTTCTAAGACAAAATTAAATACTGAAATTTGCAAATGACAGGAAAGAAAAAGCGATTATAGGTGTTGGACCACCTGGAATTGTTTAAGGTCAAGGGTGCATTTTAGTCCCCACAAAGTTAATTTAATTAATTGTAACAAAAATTAATTAAACTTGCTATAATTTGTTAAGCTACACATTGACAATGGTGACTTGTTGAGTTGTTGCCTTGTTGGAGGTAATTAATTAATCAGCCATCTTGTCACTGTTAGGAGTTGGGACTTTGATAGATGATGGGAACCACTTGGAATTTATTAACAAAATTATGAGAAAAATTTTCAATCAACATTTTGTTATTGAATAATGAAGAAGAAATATTTGGTTTTTTTTCGTATTTAAATATTTTAAAATTTTAATATGTTTTTAGTTAATATTTTATAAATAAAGAATCATTAACTAGAATTTTAAGATTTTGATATTTTAATTTTAAATTTCAACATTAACAAGTCGTTGGATGTGAATTGATTACGTTGGGCTAGGTCATTGGCAATATAATTGCTTGAATGATGAAGAAACATTAGAGGATTATATTTCTACCTCCAATAAATTATTATTATTTTTAAATATACTAGTTGAGTTTCTTCAAAAAAAAAAAAATACTAGTTGAGTTTTAAAAAAATGGACATTTTAGATTTAAAAAAAGAAAAAGTAATACCTTTTTTAAAGTCGATAATTAAAATGAAAATATTATTATGATTAAAAAAACAGAATAAATTTTATAGTACGTAGTAGAGTATGAGTTACAAGTGTCTCGGAAGTCGGAAGGAGTGTTCTGGTGGGTAGATAATGATTGTCATATCAAAAGGTCACACGTTTGATTATTGCTATCACTCTCTCGGTTGGGCACATCGTACATGACCTTGTGAGACATTACACAAAAGCGAAGATTATTTTGTGCATACCATGGGAAGAAATCTGATTAATTGACATATATTTTTTAGTAATTTTTCTTTAACAACTTCAATATTATTGATGGGGACATGAGATCCGGGGCCCATTTTATTGGGAAAGTCTTGGTCCAAGCGGGGTGTTCATTTTTATGGGTGGGGTGTTGACCCAATAAGAATAATGGAATTCTATTGGGCTAAGGAAAGAAGAAGCTTGGAGCAAAATATTATAAGAATGGTTACTAGGGGTATCAACCCACGGCAAATTATATCAATCGTTATGCCATGGAACTGTGCTCACCATCCATGGTGAACACAGTCTCAACGGTAACGGTGCACCGTTATCTTTTCTATTTTTTTTCATAATTAATTGTGTGACTTTTCTTCTTCATTTTCACATTTCGTGGTTTCACTTTCTCTTCGCGCAAGTTTCTTCAACATTCATAAATTATGAATATGCAGGCATGGATTTATAAATGTACAGTTATGAAATTATGAATTTTCTGTTATGAAATTATGAATTTTCTGTTATGAAATTATGAATTTTCTGGTATGCGATTATAAATTTTCTGTTATGAAATTATGAATTTTCTGTTATGAGATTATGAATTTATAGAAAATTCATAATTATATAACTGTAAATTCATAATCTCATAACAGAAAATTCATAATTTAATAAATATTTTTCTTTTATGCGATTATGAACTTTCTGTTATGAGATTATGAATTTACAGTACATTCATAATCTCATTACAGAAAATTCATAATCTTAATAAACGCGCGCCGTTAACAGCACATTAACAATTTTTTTTTTTCCATAAAAATGGTGTCGTTTGGACCGGTGTTCACCATGAATGGTGAACACGTTTCCAGGGCATAATTTGCGAAATTATATATGCTGTGCATCCGTATACTAGGGGTATCAACCCACGACGTCGTTTTATTAAAAACACGCGTCTCACTTAAAAAAAAAATTAGTTTCGATTCCCAGCAACAACATTATATTGTGCATAATTTGAACTATATATCCAGAATCAATGAACTAAAATTCCAGAATCGATGAACTAAAATTCCAGAATCGATGAACTAAAATTCCAGAATCTATGAACTAAAATTCCAGATTAAAACAAAATTATTTTTTAAAGTGGGATGCGCGTTTTTAATAAAACGACGTCGTCCGTATGCACCATGCATGGTGCATACGGATGCACAGCATAACGATCCTCAACCCACAACCTCAAGCATAACAACACAAGTTCCAAACCACCAAGCCAATCAAGATCTTGTATACTAAAGAGTAGGAAGCTCCACTTATGCATGGGAAAGTGCGGGAAGCAAAGTAGTGGGGGATACGTGTGTGGCCTAGAATGAAGGCTGCCAGATGCCGTCTATTTGTCAACCATCCGTGAGTCCTTCAACAATATAAATAGGCATCGTTCCCTCCCTTTTAAAGGCACCCTTGTTCTCACCAAACCTCTTTTGGTCCAATGGTCTGAGTCTTCTCCCTCCTGCTGGCACACCAGGGTTTGAGTTCAGTTACTAACATATTTAGTTATGTTTTATTTAGCTTGTGTTATTTATTTATTTATTTATTATTCAGGCCGTCATTTCGGGCCCTATTCCATTTCTTAGGGCTATAGTATTTATTATTTATGTATTCTTTGGGCCGGTGTTTCGGGCTTTGTACGTACTATTTTGGGCCTAGCGCCCCGGATAATGAAGCTACTATTTTCCTATCTCCCGTTCTGTACCTCTATACCCGATTTATGGTGGACCCGATCCCGATAAAACCATCCATTATTGACATCTTATTTGATGAGTTTGAATTGTTCACGTTTTTTCCATTTTTGTGTTCATCAAAAAAGGAAAGGAAAAAAATAGATATCTACAATTTTAATAAGAGCGAATCTTGTTAAACCCTTAACTGGAATAAAAAAAATGTCGGTACACTAGATGCTCCTCCAAGTTGTACTTTGAGCTTTTGTAGTAGTACATTGCTAACCGCAGAACCTATCTACATCTACAATTTTAATAAGAGCGAATCTTGTTAAACCCTTAACTGGAATAAAAAAAATGTCGGTACACCAGATGCTCCTCCAAGTTGTACTTTGAGCTTTTGTAGTAGTACATTGCTAACCGCAAAACCTAATCTAACCTTAATGCCAATTGCAAATCCTAACATAACCTTTAAGTTGTTATAATTTAAACAAAAAAACACCGTCCGACTTAACGATTCCGTCAACAAAGCTATGCGGTGGCAAACTTGAAATTAATGTCAAATTGAGAGGCAATTACGAGAGGGGATTGAGGCAGAGAAGCACAGAAATTAGGCATCTGGTAGCAGTTCGAAGGAAAGGCAATTACGAGAGGGGATTGAGGACAATCCAGAGAAGCACAGAAATTAGGCATCCGGTAGCAGTTCGAAGAAACGATCTGCGGCGGACAATCCAGAGAAGCACATCAAAGAAATTAGGCAGTTCGAAGAAGCGATCTCCAGTAGCAGATTCTCTGGTCCTTCCAGTGTCGGAACAAAAAGTAATTGCATTTGTTTATGATTGTGAATTGTGATTAACGTACATCATAACTATGATCAATGTTTATGATTGTAATGTTCATCAGTGAAGTAAATGCCCATCTGACTTGTGAATTATTTATGAAGGGTCATATAACTAATTCACCCTAGGTTCATGGAATATGTAGTACTAATTCTAAGGTTATTGTTCACAATCTTAGTTTCGAAACATTGTGAATTGTGATCACTGTGTCAACATTAACACTAAGATTCAATAATAGCTGTATAACACTTGAGTTAACATTAACTAAATTATTTATGCTTCAGATTAATAAATTAGTGTTGTGGTAGTTCACTTTTTTAAATTTAACATGCTCCATTGAGCATCCCCTACTTATAGATTGTTGGAATGTTGCTCTACATTGTGCTCAAGGATAAAGGTTAATACTGTGTAGTTTCTGGTTTCTTCTTGTGCTAATTCTTAAGTGTGTTTTGCCTCTCTTCTTTAGACGATAACATGATTTTCTTCCAATATGTGGTGCTTTTATTACTTGAATTCTAACCACCCTGTTGTGGTAGTTCACTTTTTTAAATTTAACATGCTCCATTGATCATCCCCTACTTATAGATTGTTGGAATGTTGCTCTACATTGTGCTCAAGGATAAAGGTTAATACTGTGTAGTTTCTGGTTTCTTCTTGTGCTAATTCTTAAGTGTGTTTTGCCTCTCTTCTTTAGACGATAACATGATTTTCTTCCAATATGTGGTGCTTTTATTACTTGAATTCTAACCACCCTCGGATGCTCCTAATCATATATTCTCTAATTCTGTTTGTTTTAGCTGGCCTTAACAGCGATGCTTTCCTCAGTTTTATATGTGTTATATTGTGGCTTGTGTCAACAATGAGTTTAACATGGTATGATGAGCAGAAAGGAAAACCAGAAGTGCATGTAAAGCCATAACAGTAGTTTGCATTGTATGTTGTGATAATAGGCAAACTCCTTTCTCAAAAAGTTCCAAAGTTGAGGTTTTACAATTTTATGTAACTTAAGTTGGGGATAAACACTACTCAGATTATGGAAATTACATTCTGTTTTAAAACAATTGAATTTCATCAATGTAGGCTATTTCAACATATCATCAAATCTAATTTTTTAATCTCACATAATCTACAGTATTATAATATTGTTCTGTTTCTGATAATGTTTTAAAATCATTAATTATGTTCCTGCATTTATATTTCTAGCAACTTCATTTAATGGGAAATCCTAATATGTTTGCTCTTTATTGATTTGCAGTTGATATAATTTCTGACATTGAGTTTGATAAAACTGGCGACCATCTTGCTACTGGTGACCGTGGGGTTAGAGTGGTATTATTTGAAAGGAGTGATACAAAGGAGGTACGTTTGAAAAATTTGAGCAGATTATTTATTTATTTATTTTAAATTGAGTGATTTACTCACTGCTTTGTTTCTCCGACAAATAAATTTTAAAGCTTGTTGGAAGTCGAAGAGAGTTAGAGAGGACAGACTATCCTGTTAGTCGGCACCCAGAGTTCCGGTACAAGACAGAATTTCAAAGCCATAAACCTGAGGTATGCAATTATTCCAGGATATCTTAGCCTTTATTTGTCTTCACCTTATTGCCTTAACAATCATCCTTCGATTGCGAGATTAGGTGAACTGTAGTAGATGTGTAGTATACATGTAACAATTGCCCTATCTACTTGTGATGTGAATATCTTTGAACAAGATACTACTTTTTTCAATGTATATAGACTACACTACAAGAAATAAATCATAGATATAACTAATTGGTCCAAATTAAAAACATATCTTCAGATTTACCTTTAATTTAATGTAGAAAGATCAGAATTCACAATTGTATTCTCATTCATGAGTTTGAATTTATTGTTTTTAAATAGCTATGTTATGAAGTCTCGCGATTCTGAAGTCCCTGAATCCAGTCGTGATGCTCGAAATAGTAAACAAAGCGAGCAGTATGCTTGTAATGAGAGTCGACGGGCAGAGAGGAACTTGAGACGCCGAAATGCTTACGCAACAATGGATCCTGCTAAGAAACGAAAAATGCTAGATGATATTAACGAAAAGCGTCGCGTCAAAAGTAATGCAGCTAAATCTACACTAACTCACGACGTCAATGCTGGTATGCTTTTTAATTGGCATATTTGTCTTACTTTGAATTCAATTCTTTAACTTATGGACATTAGAACTAACTTGTTTACATGCATGCATTTGATTGATTATACATCACTTGCTTATGCAATTTAAAAAAATATTATATGATATTTCAAAATAAATAAAGGTCCTTCAGAAGTAGTACTCAGACAAACTTCTCAAGAATGTTTGCAACACAACAATACTCTTTCTTCTAATCTCGACCAGTCTTTTATGCTAAAAGATTGTTCTCCTTGTACCTATTGTAAAGCAAAGCGATTCCAATATGAACCACCTGGATTTTGTTGCTCCTCTGGCCAAGTGGTTTTGGTGTCTAATGAAATGCCTCCGCTATTGAAGCAATACTTCTGTGAGAAAGATGAAGTGTCACGTCATTTTCAAGCATGTGTTCGAACATACAACAACACATTTGCATTTACTTCACTAGGAATCCACAACTATGACAAAAATTTATCCAGGAGGAATAAAGGAATCTATACATTTAAGGTCCAAGGACAAATGTATCATTTTATCAATGATCTGGTGCCTGAAAATCAACCTCCTAAAAACTTGCAACTATATTTCTTTGATACTGAGCATGAGGTTGAAAATAGAATCAAAGGGGCAGAACGAATGGAGGCAAGTGTTGTTGAAAACCTGATTGATGTACTTGGAAGCAATCCGTATTCACAGTTCTTCAGAAATCTTAAGGATATATCAAGTATTGAAGATTGTAATATTGTAATTCGCTCAAATGCAACTTTAGATCAACGTGTTTACAACATGCCTACCTCTTCTCAAGTTGCAGCAATTTGGGTAGAAGAACAAGATGGTAGCGGAGAAAACAGTCGTGATATTAAAGTTTTTGCAAAAACTGGCCGTTCACATTCTGTCAAATACTATTATGGTTGTTATGATCCCTTGCAATATCCCCTATTGTTTCCCCACGGAGAAAGTGGTTGGCATGAGGGTATATCTAAGGTACCTAAATCTTATACAAATCGTACCTCCATTTGTCAAGGTATTCTTCAACCTGGACAATTTCCTTCAATAGAAGCTTTGTTAGACAAAGAAAATGAAAATATTGTTGGTAAGAGCAAGCGGAACACAGTTTCATGCAGAGAATATTATGCTTATCGTTTCCAAATTCGACCAAATGATAAGTCTATGCTCCTACATTCAGGAAGACTCTTTCAACAATTCATTGTTGACACGTATATCGAAATTGAGACACAAAGATTGGATTATTTTCGAGCACAACAACGTGATGTTCGAACAGAAAGCATGCAAGGATTAGTGGATAGCATTGCATGCGGGGAAACAAATGCATCTAATGTCGGACGTAGAGTAATTTTACCCGTTTCTTTCATTGGAGGCCCACGGGATATGCGTAAAAGATACATGAATGCTATGACATTAGTGCAGCGATATGGTAAGCCAGATATTTTTTTAACGATAACTTGTAACCCAAATTGGCCTGAGATAAAAAATTCGCTTGAGTTTTGCGATGAACCACAAAATAGGCCTGATTTGATTTCCAGAGTGTTTCGTGCTAAGTTGGAAGAATTGAAAGTTGACCTCATAAAGAAAAAAGTTTTTGGAGTGGTGATAGCATACACTTATGTGATTGAATTCCAAAAGCGTGGGCTACCACATGCTCATTTCTTATTAATTTTGGGAAAAAATCACAAATTCAAATCAGGTTTGGATGTTGATGCAATTGTTAGTGCAGAAATACCTGACGCTGTTCACAACTCTTCTTTGCACTCTTTAGTAGCAAAACACATGATACATGGACCATGTGGTTCAATGAATCCTGAAAATCCATGTATGGTTGAAAAGTCTGGTGCTAGACTTTGTAAAAACAAATATCCGAAGGGCTATTCGGATGCAACAGTTATGGGAGAGAACTCATATCCTACTTATAAGCGACGGAACAATTCACGCTTTGTCACCGTCCGTGGCCACCAACTGGACAACAAATGGGTCATACCATATAACGCATATTTGTTATCTAAATTCGATTGTCATATCAATGTTGAAGTCTGTGCAAGTATTAAGTGTGTCAAGTACATATACAAGTATATATATAAAGGCCATGATAGAGTTGCATTTAGTGTGTCTTCCGGAGAAGAAGTCATTGATTTTGATGAAATAAAAGAATACCAGAATGCAAGATGGGTGTCACCTCCTGAAGCTGCATGGAGAATATATGGTTTTAGCCTTGCCGAAATAAAACCAGCAGTAGTGGACTTGCAGGTCCATTTGGAGAACTACCAGTACATGAGATTTGACAACAAACAAGATTTGATTCACCTTGTGGATAATCAATTTAGCTCAAAGACAATGTTAACAGAATTTTTCTTCATGAATATGACTGATGAGACAGCTAAGAGATTGAATTTATTGTATCTAGAATTCCCCGAGTTCTTTGTTTGGGTAAACAGAGATAAACAATGGTATCCAAGGAAAAAAAGAGAGGTTATAGGTCGATTGGTGAGTGTTAATCCCATTGAAGGAGAGAGATATTATTTGAGAATGTTGTTGATGAATGTCAGGGCTCCAAAATCATATGAACACTTAAAAATGGTTGGTGAATCTATGGCTACAACTTTCAGAGAAGTTGCAGAGAAATTAGGGTTGTTGCAGAGTGATCAAGTGATAGATCAATGTTTGCAGGAAGCCATGTGTTGGCAAATGCCTACAAGTTTTCGTAGGTTATTTGCAACCCTATTGATTTTTTGTAACATTCCTTCTCCCCATGATTTGTGGACGAAATACAAGGAACATCTTTGTGAAGACATAATTTCATCATGTAACAGTATAATTGATGCTGAAAATAAGTGTCTCCATATGATAAGTGATATACTTGAATCTTTGGGGAAGAATATAAATGACTTTGGTTTAGTTTCTTATCATATTGGTCTTTCAAAAGAACAAAGAATACACAAAGAAATACAAGCAGAAAAAAATTTGCTTCCTAATGAAACAGATTTACTTGCTATAACAAAGTTGAACCAATCTCAGCGAGTTGCCTTTGACACCATAATTTCTAGAGTTTACTCAAATTCAGGAGGGGTTTTCTTTGTTGATGGCCCAGGGGGAACTGGTAAAACATTTCTATACAGGTGCCTTTTAGCCCGTGTGAGAGCAAACCAAGACATTGCACTTGCAACTGCAACATCTGGGGTAGCTGCATCTCTTTTACCCGGAGGCCGAACAGCTCATTCTCGATTTAAAATACCCATCAATGGAGATGATAAATTTGTATGCAATATTGGGAAACAAAGTGCCGAAGCCTCACTGCTTAGAGAGTGCAAGTTGATTTTATGGGATGAAGCAACTATGGCCAACCGTAGAGACATAGAAAATGTCGAAACAACTTTGCGAGATATAACAAACAATGACACAATCTTTGGTGGCAAAGTTGTAGTATTTGGAGGTGATTTTCGCCAAACATTACCTGTGATACGATCTGGAAGCAGACAGGATTTTATAGAAGCAAGTTTGGTTAAATCACATAAAATTTGGCCAATCGTTGAGAGATTGGTTTTGACAGAAAACATGCGGGCTAAAGAAGACCCATCTTTTTGTGAATACTTAATGCGCGTGGGAAATGGAACAGAAAAATATGTGGTTGGCAATTCAATTCAAATTCCAAGAACATTCCTTGTCCCATCTACAGATGAATTACAGTCTTTCAATTCATTAATTGACATAGTTTTCCCAGATTTAATGAACTTCACCCGCGATCCTTATCCACTCATGAAGCGAGGTATATTGACACCGAAGAATGAATTCGTGGATGAAATTAACAACTCCTTAATTGATAGATTTCCTGGAGACGAAAAATGCTATATAAGTTATGATGAGTTGCTTGATTCCACTTGCAAAAATGATTTTGTTGACTACTTGCATACTATCTCAGTACCTGGGTTACCTCCTCACAAGTTGATTGTAAAAAAGAATTGCCCAGTAATTTTGCTGAGGAATATTAATCCAGCAGAAGGACTTTGTAATGGTACCCGGTTAATATGTGATGACTTCCGTGATCATGTTATACGTTGTTTCATTGCTTCTGGGGAACACATTGGCAAACATGTTTTCATACCAAGAATACCACTTGAAGCTTCAAAGGATGAAAATTGTTCACTTCCATTTAAACGTCACCAATTTCCAATCAAAGTTTGTTTTGCCATGACAATAAATAAGGCACAAGGACAAACATTTGATTTTGTGGGGATTTACTTGAGACAACCGGTGTTTTCACATGGACAATTATATGTTGCATTATCAAGAGCAAAGAAAGCAGATTGTGTAAAAATGTTACTTTGCAATACTCATCGCGATACAACTACTACAGACCTAACTGATAACATTGTCTATCAAGAAATTCTAAATGAAGCTTGTGGATCACTTCTTTGATCTAACTAGGTTATTTTTTACACTTTCTGTGCAAAATATATTCATTTTATAAAACACAACATGCTTTAGTGAATACATTTTGATTTTAATATATTGTGTTTATACAGATTACTACTCTACGCATTCAGATGCTCGATTTGTCCAACTTATATTGACATTGATCCGGTATCAATATAAGGAATTAATGATTACGGTTGTTCTCTCCAAGAGATACAAAAACACAACTTTCAGCAGCTAGATTATCAAGTAACCTTCTTCACCTTTTCCCTTTATGCTCTAATTATTTATATTTGTTTATCCTCCCTATATGGCGGCACTGTTGCTAATGGATTGTTTACATGAAAATAACATCAAACTCT